CCCCTGATTACACTGACACTTTTTCTTTCTACAGATTTCTGTGCTGAATACTAGCAATTGTATTTCCCATATTAAATGAATAAACATGAACAAAAGGAAAGGTAAAGCATACTAAAAAAAAAGCAACATATCTGAAGACAGTGAAGACCTAAAAGACACAACATTCCATTTTACTGGAACTGTTGCATAGGCATTTGATCCCTAGGCTCTTACCAAATTGCTACAACAACAACCCTCACTGCAGGTGCTGTTACAAATACTACTAAGAGAGGCCCAGCAATTCAATGCAGGATATACACAGAGCAGTACCAGAAGGCTTCATTCTTTACATCTTTAACTTAATTCTTCACTCCTTTATCTTGATTCTTCACACTTTCCACCTTCGCACTTAATGCTTTACACTTTTTCTCTTTGCACTTCCCTACTCTGTAGCAGCCAGTTATTTGCAGACTCATGACAGCAGCTCTGATGACTTTCAGGACTCTCCTACACAAGTCAGGTATAGTATAACTGGAATATAAGGTGCTGATAACATCCAGAGCAAGACGCGATGAGAACCGATGCTTGTCACTGAATACACGGTGAATACAACAGATTTTTCTCTTCTGTAAGAAAATTCAATTCTGGTACAACAAAGAGCAAATTCAGGCAGAAATTTAATATCCTGCAGGACTCTTCTATAATAGTGCCCAAACAGCTTTCCCACAGTGGTGTGCCATGCCAGCATCCCCCCCACGTGCAAGACGTACAGGCCAGGGGAGCTTCCCTGGAAAACATACCTCAACAGACCAGCTGGCCCTGGCACTCAGCATTATGAATCCAGAGGCAATGATTGCTGCCCAACACACAACATCCCAGCTCCACTGGCAGCCCCAAATCTGGCTACAGACAACCAGCAACCCTGGTTACAGCTGCCAAGGGATCTTCTGCCTGTTAGCCAAGATGCAATGGTTAAGTCTGCCTACTCCTACTTGATGTAGCTAGAAAAATAACAGCTTTTTACTCCAGCATGAGTCCTCAGCATAAGGTATCTTATGAAATTTGCCTTTCACAGGCAACACTACTGGCAGCCCAAAAAAGTATGGTAACTTCATTAAGTTTCCCAGAGCTATATGTATTCAACACAGCAAGCAGCCCAGACTTCAGAACCATTGTGCCTGCTGGTGAATAAAATGTAACATCTGGAAGTCCCTAAGTGCTCCCACTGAGCAACATAACTGAAACCAGAATTTGGCCTGGTGTCTTCAAATCTTAGCGTCAGTGTCTTTCAAAGACCATCTTTTCAGATCAAACTACATTTCCTCACATATCAAATCAAAAGCCCTGATGAAATCCAGTACCAGTACACGTTTCATCAGACAATAGGAAGTCAGATCACAGAAGTGGTAGATGATTTTTGCCACCCCACAGCTGAAGTCTTTATGTTTTAAAGGTAGAATGAATAAAATATAACTCAAATGCATGAGCAGTTAATGAAACACTATATTCTTAAGTCAGCAGTATCAGATCTGTTCGCAACACCTTAAAAACCCCACACTTCTCAAGGGAACCAGACCACCACATTCAGATCTGTTTCACCAACCTCATTCTCTGGGTTTTTTTGCATTCTTGCAGCAGAGACACAGGAGAATTAAATATACTTCTAATAGAGCTTCATTTATAACATGTTAAGATGCAATGAGACAATACAATAGTTTAGCTGGTATATGGACTTAAATACACTCTTAGGAGATAACGATTCCACACAGAATTTGGGCAGAGCCCAAACCAACCGTCAGTTCCCAGAATGTTCCCACCAAACCTTTATCATTGTAGTGTATCCTGTTTGACAACGGGGCAAATTCTGCTCTCTACGTGCTCAGAGGGCAGGACCATGCACATCTGCCAGCAGTACAGCTGTAGAGACACTTGAGGATTTGACACAGGCTGATAGCAGATACAACCTCTGAGGGAGGTCAGGAGAAACAAGTAAGTTTCTACCAAACTTTCACATGTGAGAAGCCTGGAAATATCTGATTAAGACCTTCGAATCTGACTGCAAAAGCACTGCAAACCCAGTGAGGTAAAGCAAAGGACTCACGTTTGGTGCACAGACAGTTCGGAAGCATGAACTGGCTGCTGCCTCCAAGCGGGACAGCTGTTTTAGCACTGCTCTCCATTTCAAGTGGGCAAGGTCCCTTCAAAGGAGAAAACGGGCCACTAAGTCCATGGGAACGTAGCTGCAGAATTATTTCCCATTTTGTGCAGACAGAGAGAGTGCATTGCATTGAGTCACTGGCATGGGGTAAGCTTTGATGGGTGATGACGTTTCACTTAAAACTTTCCCTCTTTCAGCTTTTTAGTCTACTTCATGAACTGTGCTGCCTGAAAATCTAGAAAAAAAATATTTATCTGACTTGCATGATTCACAGAAATGATATGCTTAATCATCTAAGGAGGAGTCATTTATCTCTCATAACACACAGCTTTAAATTCAAAGTGAGCTTAATATGAAAATGGCTAATAAATGACTCATAAATGGCTAGTGATTCAAAAAGCCTAGTGGACATTTCTCTGTGAACCCTAACAGTTTGCCATCTGTGTCTAACAGCTAAAGTCTTACATACAGCCACATAAAGGGAAGAGAAAATACTGATAAAGTAATGTGGTAACAGCGTACAGCCCTTTTATGCTATTCCACTGATGGACAGATACGGGGATTGAAGCCTCATGCAATGCATTTTAGAAGTGAACGCTGCCAGGAAAACCATGGTCTGTGTTTCTACGGCACATCAGGCCTCCTTCCATAGGGTTTCCAGTGGAAATCACCAAGAGCACACACTCGCCTCGGTAGTTAGGGTTATACACGAGCATTTAGTCTATGAAGTACCTAAAAATCACGTGGCTGACAACTACTCGGAGACCTGGAGAGCTCGGGTCCCGTATCCCCGAGCACACCGGGCTCATTGTACCACTGATAACGCACTCTTCGTGTTTCACTCCATCTGCCCGTGCAAAACTCATTCAAAAGAGAAGAGAATCAGCGAAACGCGGGAAAGCAAGCAAGCCAGAACGCTCCCGAGAACAGAGGAACGTCAGTAGCCGTCGGTAGCACTGACACGGGGAGGCGCGGCCAGGAGGCGCGGCGGTACCGGCAGCGAGCGACGAGGCGCCCGAGCCGGGGGACCCACTGCGGGGCCCTCCACTCCCGTCCCCGCGGGCTGCCCCCCGCGCCGCGCGCCTCCCAGCTCCCCGGCGCGCTTCGCACCTGGGCCGGTGCCCGCTCCCTATTCCCCGCTGCAGCCGCCCCGCTCCGGCCGGCGCTGCCCCGCCCGCCGCACTCACCCGCTGCTGGAGCCGCCCGCTGGCGGCCGCTGCCGCCGCGCTGTGCCGCAGCTCCGCCGCCTGCCCCGGCCGCAGCAGGCTCCGCGTGAAGCGCCGCGTCCGCTCGCCGGCCATGGGCACCGGCAGCCCCGCGCTCCGGCCGCCGCTCCCCGCCCGGGCCGAGGCGCCGTCAGGAAGCGGAACTGGGGGTTTCCCTCCCGCTCCCCCCGCGAAGGAGGGGTGTGCGGGGCGGGGGCCGCCCGCCATCAGCAAAGGGGCAGCCCCTCCCCGGGGGAGCGTCGCGCCCTCGCCACCTTCGCTGGCCATGTGCGGTGCGGCAGAGCTTCGGCCCCGGGAGGGCCCCGCGGGGACGTCCCGCTCCCGCCCCGGCGGCTCCGAGGCGGCTGCGCGCCGAGGGGTGCCCCCGGAGGAGAATGGGGGCCGGGGTGCTGGAAGGAGCCCGAACCAGGCCCCCCTCCGCGTATGTGCAGTCGCCAAAAGATGCTCTGCCAGGAAGGCGGCTGGGTTGGGTTCGAGAGGAACAGCGACTCTTGGTATTAACCACTCGCCAGGGTGGACAAACCAGTTCACCAGCCGAACCCAGAGCCCAGCCAGCAGGTTTCCTGTGAAATCAACTCTCTGGTCAGCCCCACCATCCTCAAAGCTGGTGGGAAGCATTTGCCGAGTAGCAAGGGCTGCTGCGGCCCCTGTACTGAGTGAGGCTGGATGTCATCCAGTCCTTCTGCCAGTTGGCTTGGCATCCCTGTTCCTACACTATGGAAAACTCTGACGATCACAATTGAGTTTAGCCACTTAAGCCCACAGAAGTCACACAACAGTCACAGCTCTCCCCCCTAGCAGAATGATCGTATCTTCTGTTAGTGGGAATATGGATTTATGCCCGAATGCCAAGATGCAATGGGGAGAATCCAGTATTGGCAAGAGCTGTGTCTGAACTTCTTTGTGCATGAATACTTACATTCTCCTCTGTTGCAAAATTTTCATCATTTACTGGTAGGTATGGGAAAGGAGGCAACTGTGAGTGATCACACATTTGAGTGCATGGTAATCCCTGTAAAAGGCTTAAAATAAGACCCGAGGAACTTCAGGTGTAACCCCTGATAATGCAATGGTGCTGCACAAGTGTGAGGGCAACACTTCAAGCTACAAAGGTGCTGAGACTCAAAAGCCAACAGAGTCAGTTACCATTTAGTTTGACTGTTGTATTAGGGAATTAAATGTTGCAAGAACTCCTGGCTTGCATCTGCACTGGGAAGCATGCTGTCTGCTTCGAGGCAGCTGGCTGTAAGTCACCTTAGGCACCAGTGTGCTATGAATTCACTTCAGCTTCTGCATAGCTCCCAGTTCTCCCCTCCAAGATGACTAAAGATACCAAAGGCATCACAGCCCAGAGTTTAAGTATTCCTCTGCAAGGGAAACATTTCCCAGTAAGGTGAATTATCTGAAGTGTGCTAAGTGCTCCAGAACTCGTTTAAGACAATTACAAATACTACTCTAGATAGTTCTAACATTCATCAGATGTTATCCTGTAATATCTTGGAGATGATACTTGTTTGGAGCTAAAGCGCAATAAAAAAGTACTACTGGATTGGAAAAGTTTTCTTGGTCTTGAGAAATTTGACACACATTAAAAAAGAAGAGTAAGTAGCCTCAGTGACTCTAAGGAAACATTCTGCTGAAACACACATGTAATTTATGATAAATCTGACTGCAATTTGTTGCAGACAGCAAAGGACACACACATTGCAGCATCTGTGAGAAAGAATTATGAAAATCAATGGTTTCCTCCATGCAGTATGTGCATGTACATTCTGGAAAATTACTTTAAGAGAATAACCACCATAATAATCCTGGTCAGGAATCTGCAGCCATCCCTGGCTTTGAGGATGGTACTGCTGCTTCTACTCAGTGTGATCAGTCCTGCGTTCAGGCAACAGCAGCCTGTGTTCCACATTTCTTCTCACTTCACAGTTATACACAGGCAACCTAGGGATTGAGCGAATACACAGATACTTGTCAGTGAGCAGCTGGCTGCTTAAATCCGTTAGTAGACATCAAGAAATAAAAGAGCTGGCTGTTTCTGCACCACAAACATTTTCAAGCCTGCAGGAAAGCAAGAACTATCCACAAATACCGAAACAATGAGCAAAAAAAGGCAGTTGGATTAAATGTAACACATTTTTTATTATTACCACTTTAATAAGCATTCAGTGCTAGTCTGGGCAGGGAGCTTTGTCAATGAGGAGCTGAGTCTGCTGCCTCTGAAATTGTCATGCATAGCTCACAGCACAAGTGTCCAGGATTTTGCAATTCATATAGTTGTTTACCAAATAATTATGGTATGGTATAATGCAAAATTAATTCTTTTGGTTCGTCTGAGAGTTACTCAGGAGTTTGAGTGTTCTAACATTTTACCTAAGTTTTCTTTGCCGCTGAAAACCTCACTAATTTGATTAGTGAAAAAGTTGGTTTTCCTGTATCTCTGAGAGAGATAATACAAACTTGAACACAAACATTTTTCTTTACTGATGTAACGCCTGCCCCCTGCCTCTTCTGTCACTGTTCACAACCTTAGTTCTATACCGTTATCAGCACACACTAACTGCAAAGTGAAACTGCTGTGGTTTGTTATTATCAGAGCTTCATAAAAAGCATAATGTAGCTTCATTGTCTCTTGAGCTTTGAACTTCTTCCTGGGTGCAATGAAATTAATTCTCCGGCCCATATGGCCTTCCACAGCTTCTAGCACAACTTAAAAGTTGACACTAACTGCTGACGCAGACACTTGCAAAACATGGAATTTAGACACCTCTGTCGCCATTGACAGCACGAGAATGTTCACTCTTTTAACATGATTTTAAATGCAAGTGCCTTTTAAATTGGTCCAAATTCAGAAACTTGTAAGACCCCACTGTTCACTTCCTATCTCCCACTCTATCTCATTTATTACAAATGATAGCATTGCACAATCTTTAATGATTCCAGAACATGGCACACAACCAGCCCGCAAGCATCCACCCTTTATAGGATGATTACGACTGCTGTTGAGCACAGTTCAGTCTACCAAGGCAGAAGGCACCTTCACAGGACTGAGGAGCGCTTTCTCCTTCTGTAGCTGTTACCTGCACTATGTCTGGGTTACTTCTACAAGACTTGACTTCCCTTGGCACTTGGCATTTTGATTAACATTTGACAGTGGGTGAACTTACCAAATTCAAGGTGATACATCTATTTCAAGTTTTAATGCAGAGCTGATCATGCAATTACACAAAATAATAACAGAAGGAAATGAAAACATGCAAACACAAAATATCCCCTTCAACACTCAAATTAAAAAACTATAATGTAGTACTTTTGCAAATGCCTCTAATTCTACAAGTCCATTTTACTGGAAACTTTAGACTCTGCAAAAAAAGGCTTTTAGTTTGAAGGATGTTAAGAGAAATAAGTTTCCAGCCCTTCAGCTAGACCTTCTTTAATGGACGAGGTGGGGTGTAGCTGCTTGCGTAGAAGCATCGTTAGCTCCAGTAGGGCTATGTGAGCAAGGCAGTTAAGAGGTTGATGGGGAGGCTCCAAGTACTTCAAGATTCCTGATATAGGCTATGTATGGTTTCTATAGGAATTTAACTATTTGTGCTAGATTTGTATGGATGTAGGATTATTATTGAAGAGCTCCAACTGACTGACCTGAGTAGAACTATTAATACTGATCAATTAACTTATGTATGTCTTTAAAAAAATCAAGATCAAGTAGGTAATTAAGTGTAAACCTCAAACACCAGGCATACACGTAACCTTTTTATAAAGATTCATAACTCAAAATCACGCTGCTTAAGATAGGCCTTATATTGGTTTTACAGGGTCATGGAGGTCAGAATATTTTTCCTTAATTACGGAATTAATACCAGATCTGACCTCATGTTTGGTTACATTGCTGGGTCAAAATTCTTGTTCTTTTAGAGCGTTAAGAGTATGAAGTTGAGAAGAAAAGAACACTGCAGGAAAAAATCTGCTATATTGAAAGGAGACATAGTATTCAGATAAACAGTTTCAATGAGAACACATTTAATGGTATCTCTGACAAGTGCATGCAAACATGCAAACAAATAAGTGGCCAGAAAAATGAGTTTATCATGTAAACTCAAGTAAACCTAAATCTATCTACAAGTGCCTTATAGGACAAGTGGAACTACTATTTTAAAAGATAAAAATTACTCTAGAGGACAACCAAGGAAAACAAAAAAATAAAAGAGAGAATTATCTTTATTCACAATTATACTTAGTGTAAGAGATGCAAAATATGAGGCTGCCCTACCTTACTCTGTCTGACTTCCCTCTGAAAGACGGGAAAAATAACACTTTGCTATCCCACCATAGATGCAGTTTAAAGGTGTTCAAATGTTTAGTTCACAAGGTCCAAATGAGTAAGAAGGCTAGATATGGCTCTAAGTAAATATTTTTAAGAACAAAAGGAATTAATACTAATTTAATGGTAATAATTTTAAACTGTTTATCGGTCTCATTCAGATCTGGAGTTCCACTAGAAGTTTTCATCTAAATTCTTCACTCCATTTTCTGGCCAGCTGTGTAAGTGCAAGATCAACACCATTTATGAGATGTTCAGACACTACATTAAGAACACCATTATAAATAACTAGCTAGTACATTTAAAAAGTACTTTCCAATTCAGCTGTGCAAAAGTAAACCCCTGAATTTGCAACGGCTGTATTAACCTCTTAAGAGAAGAGTCACATATATGTTTATGCACCTTTATGGAGCAGAAGCATTACTCAAGTGATTCACAAAACAGCCATCTTATCCTGTAAGTGCTCTGGCACCCACAGACTACAGGCATCTTTAAATTCAGAGTGCCTTTCTTAAATATGCAGAAAATAAGAAGTTTAGTGTCTATACATAACCTGTATGCATACATACATCACTGCATGGCCTTTCTAAGATTCGTTCTTCACATGTCCTATCTCGGCTGTGTCATTAGGTTCATTTTAGAAATTCTGTTAAATTCTAACATAGAGGCTGCAAGGAAAATCATGTCAAATGAATTTCAAGTTTACCTTAATCAGTGGGTGACTGATGTGTTCTCAATTTCAAGACATTCCTCCATTATCAATTACATTAACTCTACACTACTAAGAGACTCCATTTGGTAGGGCAGACGTGATTTCGTTTATGATTTAATTGCAACACTAAGCCACTTGTAAATAGACTGAGGTCAGCCATGTCATGTTTTGCATCAGTGAAATTGCATATAATCACACAAATACAACTATAGGTCAAGCAGGCTTTACCTTTTAAAGAGGAAATTGTACCTGTTGCACGTAGCACTTGACAAGTGCGCATCATTATAGCTATCTCTCTAGATTGAAAAACAGGCCAGAAAGTTAAATATAAAAAACCAAAAGCTTCAGGTAATTCCATGTGATCACAGTCTTCATTTAGTAATATTCAAAGCAACTTGACATTTCTAGTAAGAGCTCCACCTGCACATTTTTCACTGTAGTTACAAGATGGTAAAAGCAAGATTGTCTTCACACTATTAATTCTCACTTCCATGTCCTGTACCTCCACAGCACATATTCTTCTTTAACAGTAAGCATATTTTACCATTTGTGGAAGTCAACCAGGTCAAGATCCTGACCTTTCCATTTTTAAATGCTGTTTTTCCATGATACTCTATACAAAGTGTACTTGGCATTGAGAATTGCATTCCAGGAGACTTCTTTTTCTCTTCTAAACACGCAGTCTCCTTGATTTTTCTACTGCCTGAAATGATCAGTAGGATAAGTTTTATGACCTCTAAATTTTATTTTAAAATGTGTTTAGCCTGCTACCTTACAGGTACACATTCCCAATGGAAATGAACTGTGGTGAGTGCTGAACATAACCGTAATTGAATGGATAATCCTCATGGGAGAAAGCTGGATGATTTGCCATGTTTTCCTTTTTACAAGCAGATATTGCACAAATCTCTCTTCCTTGATGAAAATGCAGAGCACATAGACTAGAAGGTCTATAGTATAAAAATAAATAGCAAAAGCAGCCAACCTCTCTTTACCTCTGTCAAACCTCTTGGACACTGCACATAAACAAATGCAGTCAACTCCTTTGAAAAGGGAGGCAATCATAACCAAAGCACAAAACAGACAAAACAAGTAAGGCAGAAAGGTCAGTATATAGTTCAGTATATAGTTTAGTAGAGTGTAGGTCCAATTGAAAGCAGTAGGAAGTAAAGCCTGAACCTACCATTGCCCACTTCATGTGGTGGTTAGCTGGGGTGCAGAAAGATGCCTATAGCGAGGTACTGCTGCCAGGGCCAGCAGCAGCAGTGGGGAACAGTTACCCTGCAGACTGCAAATTCTGCATGGCAGAACATGAGTGAAAAGGATGAATCTATGGGACACAAATCAGTATTTTTTTTTAGGAGAGAAAAGGATTTTGGTTTGGTTTTCTTCTTCCATTTGAGCAAATGCAAACCTACCTGCTGGATTTTGCAGTCAGAGCACTCCACTCGTGCGTGGAGGAGGTTGAACAGGGAATGCATCCCACCAGCTTGTGCATCCCTAATGACAGCCAGTACTGCAGCCTCTCCCCTTACTTTGCCTTCCTCCCACTGTCTTCCACTGGTAAATTCCGCCTGCACAGGTAAAGGAATTGTCCTCAAATGTCACAGGAAAAGCAGAGGCCTTTCCTCTGCTCCAAGACTGCTATTCTATCACCATGCTAGAAAGGCAACTAGGATTCACTGCACAAGTTCAAGCTCTCCTGACTGCTGAGCTGTGTGACAGCAGGCATCCCTGTCCCCACTGCACAGCCTAGGCTCTACCACGAACACACACACACCAGCTCTTACAGCCTGCTCCTCAAAGTGGAAACATGGCTACATGTTGTGGTTTTGGGGTTCTCCATTTCTCTTCCTGCCGCTCACACAGTGTTTAAAATCACTTTTGGTTTCGCTACATGCTCAAACACCATCTGTGAGACCAACTCTCTTCACTCACTTTGCCACCAAAATGCAGAAAGATTTAAGGTGCCTCCCACATCCCCCTTGGATTCTTGTCTGGACACGGCAAAACCACCATTGCCAGAGATGATTTAGTTGTGGAAAACACTCAGAACAGTTTTGCAGAAGAAACTGATATAATCTGGTACATTCAGAAACACGTATTTCCAAGATAGAAGACTCTTGGTGCCATCCTCACTTCTGAGTCAGACAAAGTGAATGATGGGCTACACCACATATGTGTCAGAAAAAAAAACATAAACAGGCATCCTGCAATTTACTTCCTAGAGGTTTATTTTGCCAAAGGCTGCTCTTTGTTCTCTCCTGATGGGGGGGGTGTGGGGGGGTGTGGGGGGGGGGGTGTGTGGAATAAAAGGGAAATAATCAAATTATATTCTCTGTCTCCCTCCTATCCAGTCACAAACAGGTCAAAACAAAAAAATACCAACATCTTGACAACTCTTGAGGATGCACTGGCAGAAGAAAGATGGGAAAGGGCCACATTGAGGCATAAACTTTTTGCCTAACATCAGATTGTAACTGATTTATGGAAGTGAAAACCTGGAATTTAATCTAATTTGTGTGAGTTTAGAAGCTGCCTCTGTGTCCAATATACTTTCATTATATAAATATTTAAAATTTGCATGCCTTTGAGCAATCACTTGCTATTTACAAATGGCAACACGAGAATGGCAATGGGCTTACTTTTAAATTTAGATGCATAAAAATTTAAAATGACTGACTGTATTTTAAACAAAAATCCTTTTCACCTCTCCATCAACAGGGTCAATTTGAGGTCAAGCTCAGATTGTAGCTCACAGGATGTAAATGAAAGTAGCAAGCGGTGTAAACATATTACACATTGGGGAATCAAATGTCTTCTATCTGATGGATATCTTGAATCTTTAGGGGCATATGATAACATCTATAAGTAGAAGTACTAATACAGTAACAGAGTACAAAAATACTAATAATATTAGGAAGTGATTTGTTTTAAAATGAGAGCACAGATGGGCCTGATACCTGCATAACTTCTTATGGAGACAGCTACCAAAGGAGACCAACTGAAAATCCAAACAGGAACTTTTGCCAGCATCAGTTAACATTAAATAATCCTGTCCCACTGGCTGTAACAATGGCAGGTGCCAGCATCTCTCTCCTTTTTCTGTACTCATAAATAAAAATCATTCAACAAGATGGATTAAGAAGTACTCTGCTTTGGGTATCTATATACTTAACGTAACTAGAGAAGGGTGTTAAAAAACCGTCTTGCAACTGTAGCCTGAAGCTGTTATCAGATTCTTGATACCAGTAGATAGCAATGATACGTCACATTATTGACAGTGATCAAATCTCATTAATGTTAAAGGGACTGACTTCACCAATTTCACTGGGCTTTGGCATTCTCCCCTGCATAAGCAAAAAGATTCCAACTTACAACTGAAATACATTTTTGATGTGAGGGACAAACTCCTTCCTGGTATTTACACATGTATTCTAATTCATCTTCTGCAGAAGTTAAATCAATGTGGGAGGGGGAAAAGATGCAGCCATAACATTTAAGAGAAGATTTTTTCAATAATTACCACTTCTTTTTATCTATGTGCTACCTTTTACTTTACCACCTGTGCACTGAAACACAGAACCCCTGATTTCCCTGTGTGCAGAAAACAAAGTAAGTTTAAAAGACAGCCTTCACTATTACCTCCTACAGTGAAAACAGTCATGTAGAATGTTCTTGGTCCAGCTTTTGCCCTCAGCACATGTTATAATAAGCCACCTGGGTTTTTACATTTACTTACTGAAACATTTATATCAACTGTGACAGATATTCCCAGCAGGTGAAATCACTGTGGCATCCAGATCCAAATGAGGTTCCGCTACAGCCTCACTGTCTCTCAGCACTTTGTAAGGCAACAGTCCTAGAACAGGGCTGGAAAGGACCTTAAGATCATCTAGTTCCAACCCCTCCTAGATGCTGAGGTGGTGTCATTTTCATAACAATTGTTCCTAAAAGATGACTACATTTGGAAAGCTGAAAAAAGATGCAACTTAAAACATGTAACACTTAAAAAGCACTAAAAATATCAGAAAACGCAAGTATTACAGGACCCATTTGTGTAGTGCCTGGGATGGTAAGCTGCCCAGGTGGCTTTGGCTGTGCCTCTGGGCCCATCACAATTAGACTGTTCCTCTGTTTTCTGAGCTGCTTGTCCTTCCTTAAGGCCATTTTTTTCAGCTTTTCTTTGGAATAAGACATTTTCTCCTTATGCAGCCATAAGATGACATAGCTCTGTGACATTTAATAGCTCCTTTGAGAGTTAAAAGGAAAAGCATCAGGGGCTAGACATCAAGATTATTTTTTATGACTACAATGTAATTATTATCACTAATGGCACATTAATAATTACAGTTATCTGAAATCTCAGTTTAATACACAGAGTCTCTGACTGTGTTCTTAAATGTTGTTTTCATGTGGACCCCAACAGCTTAAAGCTTCTAGCCCCAATTTCTGATCACATTACACTTACATAGAAGTGGAATAATGTATGCAAATCAGGCATAACACATGCCATAAAGAAAATAGGGATATTGCCAGTCTCTCCCTTCTCTGTAGGCTCACACTGCAAAGTCCCTCTTTAAAGCTCTATCCCTCCCCAGATTTCACTCGAGGTGGTGACACTTGAATTTTTGCCAGCTGATTAGTCACAGGTGGGAGATAAGCTTTGCCCCTGTAAATGGTTTCCCACCTATAGTGCTAAGTTACAATTAGATGATTAAACCAGAAAGACTATTAATAATCCATTAATACTAAAAAACCAATTCACTTGTCATTATTTATTCCATGTTATGTTCTCTCTTTCTCCCTCAGTGTGCCTCAGAGTAGCTAAAGCAGTCTTTATGTTGGAAAGACACGTATTGTTACAGGAGCTGTAAGAGTTTATCTGGTTTACCTTCCTTTTCAGAGGTAGGGGTAAAGGATATCTCTAAGGCTTGGTATTGTGTCCCTTCCCTCCACATACACTCTTGCCTTCTTTTCTTCCTGGAGCAAGCTGTCTTTTTTTCCTCATCAGTAACAGCTGTGCCCTTACAGTAACATCATCTTCTTGGTGCTCCTATCTGGGTGCCAGGCACTCCTGCATATTTCTGCTGTTTGGCTTGTTACTCTCCCATTTCATACCCATGCACCAATTTCTCTGAAATGCAATGCTTTGGACCTGGGCTAAATGTCATGTGGTGTGTTTCAGACCATTTCTTTAATTTCTTAATACTGTTATCTTCTGCATTAAAGCACTTGCAACCCTTCACTGCAAAGCATCATCTACAAATGTTAATAGATAATCTTTGTTCTTTTCTTATGTCACTAGGGAAAATACTACTTACAGTTAGCCTCAGGACAGCTCTCTTGAAATTCCCTCCTGTTTTAGGAAACCAGTTGATACCTAATCTTTGACAGTTTTCAACTGGTTGTGTACTCAGCTAATGATGATTTCATCTATACAGTGCTGCCTTAGTCCATTTATGAGAATGTCATGTGGGAATGCGTTATGAGTATGATATCAGATATAGCACAACCCTGCTGTAGAAGGCCAGTTGGTCTATCAAAGAAGAGAATTTCTCTGAATGCAAATGTTTTGACAAGTTGGTTGATTAGGCAATCTGGGCTACACAGTGCACAGGAAAGAAACAAGATGCAAAACCCCCCACAGATTTATACGCCTCTCTTCTTCTGAGTAATTGCCAGTATCTCTACTTCTTAATGTCCTCTCTGTCTCAATCCTTATTTGATTGCTCCACACACCCAAAAGGCAACAGTATTCCAGCTTCCTACTGCAGAAGAGAAATAGAGACTTGAGGTCATACACTCCAGCCTTTCCCATGTCCTATACCAGCCTCACCGCCCATTCACAAGTGCATCTTCAGAACCCCCTGCTTTTAAGTGACACACAGTCATATAGTAATAAGGGACTAAAGAATCAGGAAAAATGGAAAGGTGCTGCAGATTGGCTGCAATGTTTTGGTGCGTTACAGAAACTCCAATCTCTAGGCTGGGGACCTCAACCTCGTAGCCAGAGATTAAGGCTTGGGAGAAAGGGATGCAGATGAGCTCACCTGATCTGAGAATTCCAGCATTTCAGTTGAGTACCCTAACCACTGAGCTGTTGGATGATGCATGCATGCTATTTTCGTTCACTGCTGAGGGATGTTCTCCACAACAACCCTGCCTCAATCTGTTAGGCAGACTCTGAAAGCATCAGACTATGCTCTGCAAAGAGGTGAAAAAGTCAGTAGGATTCAGACAGTGAATCCTGAAAGGCTTTAAGCATTACTTTTGTGCACTGGTACTTAATACTGCCTAGAATGAGGTACTCTGGCATCTCAAGAAGCCAAAATCTGATGACTTAAGGCACTGCATAAGTTCAGACAGCAGCAGGAGACTAGCAGAGTCAAAGTCTTCTGAATTTTAATTTTGTAGGGAAGTAGCATCCAGCTACTTCCCTACAAACAGCTTTAAATGGTGTTAAATCCCAGAGTTGGTCAGTGAGGGTTTTATGCTGTGCCTTCTTTGTCTCATTTGGTGGGGGCACAGAGTAGCTTTTGGTAGATACTTCAATAAATCAGCAATTTGAAACAGAGTGAGGAATTTCAAATAACAATAAAAGCCAGTCAGATCTATATCCTTCCCAACAGAATATAGGGTAAAGGTTCAGGGTGGAAGCAGAGGCCTGGAGAGGGAAAGTGAGTTAGGCACAAGTGTGAAGTAGTAA